CCTTCCCAGTTTTCTCTTTAATTCTGTAATTATGATCAAACTATTTAGACAACTTTCATCTCCGAAAATTATGTTTTTAGTGCCCCAGTGTAATATTTTATCTGCCAGTTGGGCGGTTCAGAGGTGGGCGGCATTGGGCCTTGGGTATTTATGGTAGCCGGCGATCGGCTAGTAATAGCCACATTTTATAAACAACTTATTTCCTTAATTGATTGTTAACAATGATTGTCGATGAGGCCCCAAGCGAAGCTCCTATCGCACACTTCCCGGCAGACTGCCAACCGCAACAGCAACTGCAACTGCATCTGCAGTTTGTGCTTTTGGCCACTGCTGACGTTGTATCTATTAACCACGCACTCCATTATTATTTAATAACATATTTCTTAAGTATCTGCCAACCCAGTTCAGAGCACAAAACGAGCCTCTGCCACGCTGGTTGGGCTTTCTTCGCCATCGTTCGCCTCCTGACCATAATTTGTGAGGCCTGCCTCAGATCCCGATGCCTCTTCACATCTTTTATTCATACACATGGAGAAATAAAGTATTTTATCCTTTAATTCATTTTAACATTGCTACTTTTTTTAAATATTTTCTGAGTGTTCCCAAATAAGCAGATGCTTGTTCAATAAAGCTTAAACAATAAAAAGTTAATTTAAAACACCATGTTCATTATTTTTTTGGCCTTCCAGTAAAATATATTTCAAATTTATTTGATAAAAAAAGATCTTCAGAATTGTTATATATATTTTTGACAATATTTTCCTTTGTGCAGACCTCAACGTTCGACTCGTCGTCGCCGTTCAAAGTGATTGCCACCCCATTAAAAAAACGGCTGCGCCTTCTAGTTGCTGTTGGTGTTGCTGTTTGTTGTTCTTGTTGCTGTTGATGTTGCTGTTGTTGTTGCAGCCTTGGCTCCTGCCACGATCACTCAATAAGTCTAGACAAAATGTACCTGGTACCTGTGATTGTCGCTCCTCGATGGGGAAATGCGGGGGATAGCTGCCGTAATGGATCAGCACGTTGCCAGGTCCGCTGAGTTGAGTTGAGTTGAGTAGAGTTGAGTTGAGCTGCCTGCCAGCCTGTTGCCTTTCAGACGTCGTCTCTACGTCATCACCAACAATAATAACAACAGCAGCAGCAGCAACAATTTTTAAGGGGGAGGGGAAGCCCCTTCAATCGTGAAAAAGCCAGCAACCATCATATTTGTTGCATGATTATGTGGTAATTGCGGCTGTCAATAAAACTCCCCCGTTTTATTCTTTATAACCGAAAGCATTCTACGCCTATATTTTCTATATGAATATGAAGGCACTGTGAAAAATTACATCAGGATTCAAAGTGTTCCAGTTTTGATTAAAATGTTTTAAACCTAAATATAAAAATTTGTATTTAAGCCAAACTCCTTTTTGGTGGTATATTATTCAGAAAATTTAATTGAATTCTTTAAGATAAAATAATCATAAAAAATATTATTTAGACTTCAAGCTATTGGTTTCCTGCGTGCATATAGACCTGTAAAAGCATATTTATATATACTTACGTCCAGAAAGAATGATCCACGATGGGTTGCGTTCCCTACCATGATTTAGTTTGACAAAGGAGTGACATCCAAGTACTTAAGTGATTTCTTTACACCTTTTATGGAGTAGTTAATGCGGTATACGCATAAGTTCCACATTGAGCAAAGTCATGCCGGGTGCCCCCTTGGCTCCCTAGAACCCCTCCCCCCTCTCCAGAAAACCCTTGAACCCAAAACCACCGATACACTCTATCCCGATTCATGGCACCCACCAAACCACAAAACCTTTACGAAACTCAAGCACTTAGCGGCGTTTAGGTTGCGGCTTTTGTCCAACTTGTTTTTTTCTACCCTGGGAAACGATCGAATGCGTCTCAAAACGCTACTCCTGTTCTATAATCGGTTGGAAGCCTCGATTTTGTGAATCACTCGCATCGCACAGCTCAGTATGTAAATCTCAAGTGGAGCTACTCGATGGTTATTGTGATGGAAACTCTATTAGATATATGAAAACTATTTATCAGTACTTTGGTAAAAGGTATATTTAAATTTTACTCACTCTTAAATTTAAAAATTCTCAAAATTTAAGTATTAACCACTTAATTTTTTAAATTTCTATAATTAAAGAAAACCCCAAACTAATTTTTTCCCACAATATTCTGGCCTTCCTGCAAACAGCTTAGGGACAATTTAGACCCGCAAGCATAAATCTCTCGCATCGAAGCTCATTTTGATAACTTTGTTTGCTCGGCTGGCTAACAATTTCCGTTCCGTTTGTGCAACTGTTAGCCCAATTGCGGACCCCCGGGCCAGATTCGTTGGCACAGTGGGCGTGTTATGCTTGTTACTCGCAGATTGCGGCAATTGGATCCAAAAGTGAGGCCCGCGACTGGGTTTTCAACGCTTCATCGCCGGTTATCGGGCCATGCCCCAATCCAGTTGGAGCGTTTAGTCTCCGTCTGTCTAGGTGTTAAATATCGAGAGGCCCGGCCGGCAGCTTCCTTCCTTTCCATACTCTGCACTCCATACTGGATATGTACATACTATATATATATGTATATCTGGTACGATGTTGTGGCATCCATCTGGGAGTTCCAGCGCATTGGAGACATTTATCGCGCGTTGGTGTCGGCTCTATCTGGGCGATGTGTTGTTGTAGGTGCGGAAAGTGGTCCACACGAGATTAGGGTGTAGCTATCGAGTCGTCTTGCTGCTCCGCCTGCGACTCCCCGGCGAGTGGGTAGCAAATAAAAGCGCCAAAACACTTAATGCATTTGGAGCAGACACACACTGAGGAACAAAATTCACACTATAGAAAACCATTAACATTTCTATAGATCAGCGATGCATTATAAAATGCAAAAGCCTATCACTGCCTTAAAATAACATAAAAAATTATCAACATATTGAAAAGAAGATATAATCCATAAATTTCTAATTCTTGAATACATTAATAATTAAATGTGAAAATTCTTTTAACGTATAATAAGGTTGTCTAAAGTTACTTTTTCCACATTTTCCAATTTTGTGGAATTTATGTTAAGGTCCAAAAGGGAAATATTCGATATTGTACTTACAAATCTGATTATATTTAATTTTTATTAGTAGTTAGCAAGTAGTTATTTTGGCTGGCAATGCGATTAATCTAGGTTTTATTTGTATTTTAAAGCTTTCCCAGTGTAGAGCTCACACCAGCCCGGTTTCAAATAGCCCGTAAATGGAGCTCCAAGTCTAAGATTGGTAGCCTGGGTGCGTCTTCCTCATCACCGTCATCTTCGACTTCGACTTCGGCTTCGGCTTCGAGTTAAGAGTCTGACTCCGACTGTGTGTTGAGCTTGTTAGCAAAGAAAAAAGCAAGAAAAAAATGAAACGGTCGCTGCTGGGTGTTGGCCAATCTTTAAAGATCAAACAATAAACTTAAAGATCTGCTGGGTTTTGCCCCCCGCCGCTGCTTTCCTCGCCTTCGACATGCAAATTGTGCAGCCGAAGAAGTGTCAAACAATGTCAGTGGGAGAATGTGTCTCGCAATTGAAATTTATTTGCACTACAATTCACTGCTGACAATGCGAGGAGGCATTGGGATGTACTACCTTACTTAGCCCGCTTTCCCTCCCACCGACCCCCGAACTCCCCCTCCCCCTTACCCTCTGGACCCTCTCTCCCCCCTTCCCCCGCTAAAACCCTCTGCCCAAAAATCACAGTCGAAGCTAGCGATCTCTAACCCGTCAACTCGTCAAGCTGTGAGCGTCAATCCACAACAAAGTCAACGACGAAGACGACGGCCAAGCCTGCCTAGAGGATTACACTGGGAAAAGTGGATAGAAAATATGTAAATTAATCGAGGAGTATCCAAAAATAAACTGCCTTAATATTTAGTTATCATTATATTGATTTATGTTTTAATTAATATTCCGATAAAGATTCGATTAGGTAAATCATTTCTGTAAAAACCTTTTAAGACTTTAAATCTTTTTTTAAACTTGATAATTTAAATAACAGCTCATAGTTAATTGCTTATTTATATTATATTTATGATAATAAATATATTATATTATTATTATTATGATAAGAGAACAACTGAGATTTGACAATAACTAGCAAAATAAACGTTTTACCTAAAAGGTGAAATTGATTTTCATATATTTCCTTGACTTGTTATATGATTATTGTTTAATTAGACTTGACAATTAATGTTTAAAGTTAACTTAGCACCTGATCTTGCTGTTCCTTTTTTCTCCGAGTGATTGATTGAAGCTCAGCCTCATTCATGAGCCCAGGCCCAGAAGGCAGAAGGCAGATCGCAGTATTCAACGACACAGAGCGGCAGCGTTTTGTCGCTCGAATCGCTCACAGCTTCTGTGCTGTGCTGCGCTGTGATTTTGCCAATTGGCAATTGCCTCCTCCGGTGCCGTGAGCATTTGCAAAATGTCAATCTGGTGCTGTGCATCAATTCAAGTGTGAAATAAATAGAAACGAATCCAGGTCCCGCCGAAGTCTAGCATTTTGCTATAATTTTCGCGCCATTTGCTGTCGACTTTGCCTGTCCGTCCGTCAGTCGGTTGTCTTGACTTCGGTTTGTTTTTTTCTCCCTCTCTCTGCTTTTCGAAACGAAAGAGGAGCTATGCTGAAAGTATTTACAATTACGCAAAGATTGATTGAAATAGATTTCGGATTGATTGGCTGCTGGTATGCACATCGCCTGGAGTTCCTTTGCGCGGCGGTGGGAACCGCAGGTTGTGTGAAAGAGGTTAAGGAGGTTAAGAGCTCCGGCTCCTCGGCGCTGGGATAATTTCTAATTAAGCCGCTCTGTCCGCCGACACGAGAAGATACATTTTATGCGACACATTTATCCATCAGATACTTTTTATTGATTGCCATCGGGCCAAACGGCGCCGCAGGAGTCTGAGAAATCAGCTTTCTCCGCCGATCTCGTAGATCGTGCAAAAAAAAAACTAAACCCAATTAATAAAAGAAACTCTTGTTCATCTAAATATTTATTCGAATTTATTTCTGGTGACAGCGATAATAATTTTCTTGATCATCATTTCGGCCGATTTGCATACCAAATCATCACACGAAAAGGAAAAATACTTATGCAACGTTTAAAATTAATAATTTATGCTATTTGCTATACAACTTTGTGCGCTTTGCTTTTACATTTACATGCATGGTTTTTCGTACATTAAAAATTTGCTAATTGTGACTAATAACTCGAGCGAACATCGAAACGAGTAAAATTACACAAAATTTGTCTACCAGCGGTATTTCTATAGAACGTTTTATGTTTTTTAAACTAACAAATACTCTTGGGGGGGCTTGGAAACGTCTAAGTAGTAGCTAGTCATTTAATAATATATGGTTTATAGCTTAGAAGAAAACGAAACTTAGAGATTACAAATTCCACTACGATATTATGCATACGCGATACAGATAAGCTGCCCTTTTTGCATATTTTGCTACAGTTTCTACTCTTTTATCATTTGTTTAGCTTTTCTTTTATTTAGATTTGTGTTATCTTCAGATTTCCGAACTTGTATTCTTGCCGCTTTGTGGGCAACCGAAAAATTTGTTTATAATTCACTGCATAAATTATCTAAAGATAACATTTGTGTTATACTTTTCGGTCCCAATATGCAAATCCCGCCTCGGGGGCCGCTCGACTTTTGCATATTTTGGCAATTTGGTTAGTTGTTTTAAACGATGTGATAACATCTTACCAAAACGGCACGAACTCGTATTTAGCGCTTGTTAATCAGAGTCAAATTTTTCTGCCCGCAAAGAGTCCGTTTCATGTTTCGTATTATTTATATAACTCACATGCGTTTATTGTTTTCTACATGTTTATTTAGTTTTTTTTTTTTTGTTTTTGGTGATGTCTTAGCGGGGGCTAATTTTCTATTGCCTCGATCGATCTCCAGTGGCTGATAACTGTCATTTCGTATTGAGATTTTTCAGATTTTTTCTAATTTCAGATTCTCAGACCTTAGTGGTTAGATCCAAGGCATTCGAGGTGGCCACTTTTACGGGGGCTTCCAACCTCAGACGCTTGCCGTTTTCACTCGAGGCTTCGATCAGCTCGTCCAGTTTTCGTTTGATCGTTTCACTGGCCTCGCTGTCGCTTAGGATACTATTATTATTATTATTGTTATTGTTGTTGCTGATACTGTTGTTGTTGTTGTGGCTCTTCTCAATGCTGGTCTTCACTGTCTCCGTGGTGCTGTTGTCCTCCTCCTCCTCCTCCTCCGCCGCTTGTTCCTCTGTCTCTTTTTCAGAAGTCTCATCCTCTGGCGTTACTTTCAGATCCTCGTCATCGTCTTCGGTTTCGTTTTTCTCTGTATCGCTGGAGATCTCGGGTTCTGCCTCGATTTCGGGGGTACTACTCTTCGAGCTGCCTAGGGAACTTCCAGTGGTTTTCATGCTCAGATCAATGGGATCATCTTGGCCGGGACTGGGATTCGGATCGTTTTCAGCTGGCGTTTCCGCTTCCTGTTGAGCGGGTGAGTGCGGTGGCGTCATGGAAACAACCAGATCCTCCTCCTCCTCGTCCTCCTCGGCACCATCAACATTCCCCTCCACTCTCACCTCGTCGTCATCTTCATTTTGGCCATTGCTCTGCCTGCTTTTAACCCTTTCCCTGCCACTCTCCGAGTTTGGTGTGACCAGCGCTGATATTGAGTAATCCTGTTTGGAGTGTGGCGGTAGTTTTGTGGTCGGCGGAGGACTTTGCTGCTGCGATTTTAGCACGGCATCCAAATAGAAGCGTTTGGTTAGCTCGTCGGCTGCACCACCGTTCGTTAAGAGATGGTTGTTGTTGCTTGCGTGGTTACTTGGACTTCTGGGTGGTGCTTGCTGCTCCTCTTCCTTGTGGTGGTGCTGCTGCTGTTGGTGGTTGGCAAATGGTGAAGTACCCGGTGCGAAACGCTGAGCTGCACCACTCGAATTGAAGAGATGTTGCACCGCCGCCGCAGCCACCGCTGCCTGTTGTTGCTCCGGCGTGGGTTTGAGCAAGCCCTGGTGGTGCGAGTACAAGGCGGGATGGTAGCCAGGGAAGAGGAGGTGCGAGGGCGGCAGAAACGCAGGTGGTGGCATCACGGGCATGGATGTGAGTCCCGGGAACGGCAGCGGCAGGAAGGGCGACAAGTCCTTGCGCATCTGTGGTGGTCTTCCGGGCACCACTCCACCGCCAGACTGACTGCCATCGGCACCGCTGGACGAGCCACCCGAATTGGATTTGCCACCCAAGTGAAGGAGGGGATTGCCCCGCACCGAACTCACCTCCACGGAGCTATCGGAATTATGGGAATCGGGGGAACTCACGGAGGGCGAGGCAACCACAGGATGTTTAAGCGATCCGTATTCCCCACTACCGTCCAGTCCCAGCATCATTAGCTCCTCCTTGCTCCGCACAGAGCCACCGGCATTGGCCACGGCATAGAGACCCGGATAGCCACCCGGATGACCCAGCATTCCGAGGGCCGCTGCCGCCGCCGCCGGTGGCGGAACACCGCCCATGCCCTTCACACCGTTGGGCATGCCGGCACCACCGGCCGATCCACTGGAGCTGCCACCACCACCCACCTGCTGGCTGTTGTGGTGCGCCGCCATCGCCGCCACCGCCTGCTGCTGCTGCTCCTGCAGCAGGCAGTGGATCTTGAACCAGTTGGAGCGGCGGCCGTAGCGCGATCCACTCTTCGACATGCCCACCATGAGGCACTTCTTCAGGCGGCACGCCTTGCAGGCAGTGCGGTTCTTCTTGTTGATGATGCACTCGCCGTTGTTCTTGCAGTCCGAGATCGACGACAGGTTGTTGTACGACCGACCGAAGAAGGACTGCAAAGGAAAGGAAATAATTTATTAAAATTTATAATATTCATTTTATATGACTATAATAAGAATAACACAATAATAATTCATACACAATTTAATGAACTTTATATTAATTTCTTGGACTTATGTTTTCCTATGCTATGGACATTTTCTAAACTAGATAAAGAATACTCAGTTTTAGTTTAACGTAATACTTTATTATTATTATTCTTTCATTCTTAACTAAAGATAATTTAATAATAAAAAGTTGAAACCATTTTTGTATTATGTATCAATTTGTAGAGCCCAATTAATCTGATTGCATATCAGTGCAAAAGAATTTGAGATAAAGTAGGAATGCTTATGGAAACGATGATTGAATCAAATTGATTTGTATTATAAATACATTAGTTTTGTATTGGTTTCATTACGCGATCAGAATGTAAGCCCCCGTGCTTTTATGTGCGACCCTAATGTGTTAAAATTTGTAAATATGTTCCAAAACAAAACCGATGAGGGTGCTATTAATAACCACTCCAGAACTCTCCACTCCACCCTCAACCAAACCGAGCTTCCTCGACGACTTCTTCTTCCATCGCTGCCCATGATGTCATTCAATAAAACGCTTTCAATGCTCGACAATAATATCTCATTATAGTTTTGTGATGATTCATCGGCTGGTGGTGCTGCTGCTGAGACCCAGACCTCCTTAAGCGCTCTTCCAAAAAAGCCAAAAAAGCGGAGAAGAAATAAAGCAAATCGACATGCACAAGCCGCAACCACCTACACCTCCGGCATTAACCGTTGGCTGGGGCACCACAATCAATTGCAACAAAGCAAACAAACAATTTAATTCAATGCGGAGGAGCCATGAAAAGCTGAGAGCCAAAAGCTGAGAAAGAAACAAAACTTCGGGACAGACGACGGCAACATGTTGCTGCCGTTGCTGTTGCTGTTGCTGCTGCTGCGAATGCTGCTGCATGTTGCAAAGGTTATGGCTGTGCAACACTTATGCCAAGTTGCAATGTTGGCAGTAAATCACCAACGCTTCACGGCCTGCCCGCCTGCCTGGCTTTGCAATCAACCAAAAGGGACAGACTGCCTAAATGACTGACTGAATGGATACACTCGAAAAACTAGTAACACTTCATGAATTTTCTGAGTATGTATTCAAAAGATATAATTTTTAAGTAAACTAAAATCATTCTATTTACTTTCAAGTCGATCAATGGCAACTTAAAGTAAAATTCCCATAATATTAAGAGTTAGAAAATGGTTAACAATACTTTACTAAAATTGGAAAACATTATTTCTGGTATGGTTTTTAAATAAAAGTTATTTATAGGAATCAATATTGTTATTCAGAAGCTGCATATCTTGGCTATCTACGTTCTTACATTAATGGGAAGCCAAAAGTAATTTTTTTTTTTTTTTTTTACAGTGCATCTGACTTACTCTCTGCCTGTTTGTCAGTATTCAAGTTGGTTGCCGTCGTTTTCTGATCGTAGGTGGAGCTTTTGAATGGAAGAAACACCGGTGCTGAGATGCTGACGACGAAGCGCAAAATTGAACCGAGACAGAAACAGAAACAGAAACAACAACAGAAAAAGAAGCAGAAATAATGCGAAAATCCACTTTTAAGGTTAATTGGGCATCAAGATTACTGGGTCGGAAATGGAAATGGAAACGGAGGATTTCAGGCCCGGTCTTCAGTCTTCAGTCTTCGGTCTTCAGTTTTCAGTTTCGTTTTTAAGAAGCAAAGCGGCAGACGGACAGACGACTATTTACAAGCAATTTTGTGCATCAAGGCAGATTCACTTTTGTTTGTTTGTTTTTTCTTAGCCCTCTTTACTTTTTTTTCCGATTTTTTTTTGTCTTCTTGTGGGCGTTAAATTAGCCAAGCGAGGCCCACGCCATTGCGAACGAGGCCCAAGCACAAATCAAACAACGCTGACCCACAAATTGTACGTTAGTTGACCTTTTCTCCTTGGCGTGGGCAAAAAAAAAAAAAAAAAAAAACCAGAGAAGAAAAACAAACGACAACGAAAAAATAAATAACAAAATCAAATCCCTCGACTGAACTCAAATCGAGTTGGCGAAGAAACGAAACGGAACGAACAAAAAATGATCATCCCACCATTAAAGGAGTATTCGTATTTAAATCAATTATTTGTGGGGCGCTTTGTTTAACTTTGACCTTAGCCTGGGGCAGCCATTTGTTGCCGCAACTCCCCTTCTTTATGATGAGCCCAACATTTCAGTTTCGAGGAGAATGGCCTCATAACTTTTTCTGCTTAGCGTTTGCATCACGAAGGCGGCGAATTCGATTTATTGAAATCGATTGAATCGATTGATACGGAAAACTTTGGGCCGCAGAGGAATGCCTCTTTAAAAGTGTTTGTTGCTACGGAAACATTGCGCTCGAAATGCCAAATTGGAAAACAATAGCTAATTTAGCATAACTGCAATAAAATTATATCAACTTAATTAAATGAAGTATTTAAAATCTTACTACTTCTTCTTAAGTTCATATATTAAAAATATTTAAGAACAGATAAAAGAAAAAATGTTCTACTAATGCAATGGTTTTGTATGCATTTTCTCAAATAAATAAAAGCTTATACTAAACTTAATGTAAAAGGTGCTAGTTAATTTAATCAGTCATGCAAACTTATAATTAACATATGAGTTAAGTAAAGTTTCAAAAGCCTGCTTTGACAGTTGTGACTTTATCATTTGACTACTGTATCTTCGATGTATCTTAAATCAACTTCAAATTAATTCCAATGTCAAACTCACCTTGCAACCCTCGCAAGTGAAGGCACCGAAATGAAATCCAGCCGCGGGCTCTCCACACACCTTGCACGTCTGATTCATCTGCAATGGGAACGAACAGAACACAGGACATGAGAATGGGATTGTAAGTAATTTTCGGGGAGAGATCTAACCCTCTTGGCACCCACTCCGATTCCCCACCCCCACCTCCACCAGAAACTGAGGCAATAAATTCATAAAATTTCAATTAAAAGCAACAGCAAATCATGACACGAGCATCTGGAGCTCTCCATCTCGTTTCGAGACCCAGTCCCCCAAAGAGAATTGGAAAACCAGCCGCCAGCGAAATTCACACGCATTAAAAATTAAAATGCAAACATAGTTTGTCATATCGCGAAATTGGTATCAACGAAAGAAAAAGAGCACGGCTTTAAACGAAAAGCGAGAAACGAACGACGACAAATGGAAATGGGAAACGGGCCCAAAGGAGCCCCCAACAAATGGCCAACTAAACCCGACCATGAACTCCCAACACAGGAAGAAATTACACTTAAGTATAATATTTCTTAGGTAGATAATATTTATTGGATGATGTATATATACATCACTTTAATAAATTAGGTAAAATATATAAATTAGTTATATATAATAGAAAATGTACTATTAATTTTAGTATGTGCACCCGCAAAAATACATATTTTCTTTCTGTGTAACTAGCCTAGCGTCTCTTCTGGAGCCCATAATAAAATATGAAGATGGAATCAAATGAAAAATTGCCTCAGAGCACACACACACTCTGAGCAAACAAGCAGCATTTGCATTTATATGGCAAACTCTGTACCTTCCCCCTTTCATGCCCCGCCCCTCCCATCGAAAATAGGCGCAACTTGTAGCTGAGGGAATATTTGTTTATTTATTGCGAGCGAAATGTTTATCAACAAATTGCCATCAATTGTTGTTTGGGTGCCCGGCCAGGAGTTGGCTTTTCGGGTTCCCCTTGGTTCTCCTTAGTCAGGTTGAATTTTGGGGCTGGGGATCGGGAGGCATTGCGTTTTTCTTATTGCCACTTGTAGCTGGAATTGGAGCAAAACCCTGATGACACGCGCACATGCAAAGAGGGGGAAAATTTGGCAAGGAGGAGGTGCCTTTCATGACCAAGTGATCGTGGGAGACTTTTTAGTGCTTTTTTTGGCAGCTATTAAGGATTTTGTTGAGTGCTTAACAAGTAATAAAGCGTTTAAAGGCTTTTCTAAAAATTGTATTATATTTAAGTCGCACATAGAATGTTTTGCAAATAAGACTAAATCTCATTCAAAGAAGGGAATAGGTCAACATTCCCTTACGTTTTTAAACGTATTAGGTATAATTAATACTAAATGAAAAAGTTAACTAATAAATTCTGGGTAATGGCTTACTTCTGTTAATAGCTGTTCCATAAATCTCATTGAAACTAATGCTTTAAGCCCAGACCAATTGAAATGCCTTCAAATATATCAAACTAACTGAAAATTGGCAGCCCAACTGGTAGCCAATGGCCCAAGCACAGTCTAAATCTCGCTCATCCTCCAACCCAAAAATCTTGGCCACCATTTGCGAAGTCTTTTGTTATGTTTTATGGCACCAATTGGCCCACGAGCGATTCTCGGCCATAATTCTTGTAAGCCCCTAAACAATTTGGCACATTACAAAGTTGGAGAAAGCACTCTCAACACATTCACTTTTTTCATTCGCTCCTCGAGGATCCCGGCCGTCCAATAAGCAAATCCCCGAGGTGGGGGTCTTATAAGAATGCCATGCCAATTGGCTTAGTTCGTTCGGGTTCGAGGTTCCTTATTTTCCAGTGGTTGTGGTTGGCATTATTGTAGGTGCCTTGTTTGACTGTAAAACATGCTAATCTGATTTCGTGTTATGTGTTCAGTTGGAGGTGAGTTTTGGCCCGACTTTGGGCCAGTTGGAGGGGTCCAACTTGGCTTGGAAATAAATTTCCTACGTTTAGGTTTCATAAAGCGTCGTCGGCTGTGTTCGTTTCTGCCTGCCGGCCAGCCTGGGATTAATCGACAAATAAAAATCACATAAAATAAATTAAAAATTATGAGTTTCAAGTTTCAACAACCTGCGGATTGGCAGCAGATTTAGTTTGATTTTAAATCACATCCAGCCAGAAAGAGAGGGACAGAGAGAGAGAGAGAGAGACAGAGAGGGCCCAAAACACGTTGCAGATGAGTGTTGCCGTGAAATTTATGCAGACAATGTGCAATATTAAAAAGCTATAAACATTTATTTTACAACAGACAAGCGACACATTCTTACCAAGGCACTGGGATAAAGTGGCTTTGGTGGAAGTTAAATGATGGTGGTATATTTCCATGGTTTTACAGGCCATGAATTTGTGCTCTTTCTATGTAAATCTAAGTCATTTGTTACTTGGTCAGTTTGTACTTAAGCCAAGTGTCTTTCAGTGAAGAAAAAATTCTAAACAAATATGTTCTACTTTACAAGGCAGTTTGACAAACTTAATAAGTGAAACCCAATTTCAGTGGTTTATTTATTTTAACAACAATTTGAAAAATAAATACCTATTATAATTCCAACATAGCTACATTTTCCAATTACACCTTCATAAATATTAATTACGAATCAATTAAAATGGAATTTTAATTGCTAACTAACTGAAGTAAGAATAATATCACATTTATAGCTGTACTTTAAGACAATCAATCAAACTTTTCATTAACTTGATAAACTTGCAAGAACCTATAATTACAATCATCTAATTATAGTCCGTAGGAGCTTCTTGATCAACCCTCTTGATCCAAACCAGTTTTAATTTCTTTGTTCACAGCGAAAATACCGTTTTGGAGTATATTGCATAATTTGCGTAAAACAGCTCTGCCCCAAAACATTTAAAGTCACAATTAGCCTGGCCATTAAGTGAAAGTGTTATAAATTAGATACGAGAGCGACGAGTGTGCCAAACAAAAAAAAAAAAAAACATTGTCTGCAAGATTTTAATTAAATTCACATGCGATAAATAACCTTTTTCTTTGTCAAGCAATTTGTTTTTTTACGCGAATAACAAAATATTTGTCTGTGCGCAGGTTATTGATGGGCTGCGAATATTGATGAGCTCTTTCGACTGCACAATGCCAATTTATTTTAATTAGTTGGTATATTTTCCAAAAATAAAAGTTCCCCCAGTTCCCCAGAAGTGCAACAAGTTGATCCAAGACAAACAGACGCCATACGAAAAAATTAAAATAAAAAAACTTAAATACCTGCAAAAACTCTACCAGTCATCATCCACAATAGTGGATGCTGTTGATTTTGTGTGTGATTAATTATGGCGATTGCTGTTCTGTTTGTTGTTTGATGTTGTTTGGTTGTTAACCTTAACGCGCAGCAAAAATAGCAAGTAGAATTTATAATTTTTCATGCCCCGATGATGCAATGAAAAAAGATATATATATAATAATACGCTGCTTTGTTATATGGCTTATTAAGCTCGGCAAATAAAAGAAGCGACCGCAGAAAAAAATTAAATAAAATTATTAAAATTCATTTAAGGCACGTTTACTCCAGTTTTGAGCTCGGCTTGCCTCGCCTGAAGCTGTTAAGAGCTAAGTGCCATTAAGACCAAGTCCAAGCTCGGCTTTAGTTTCTGCTTATTTTCATTTGCTTGCTTCCCTCGCTTCTTTTTGGCAGGCAAAAAAAAAAAATTATGATAATTGCTTGACCTTGGCTGGCATGTACTAATACTAATTCAAATTTGCACATCCAGTGCGCAGATCGGATCCCCTGCCCCTTTGCCACTCCTCAACATGGTTCGCATGCAATTATAAAAAAGCGCAGGCTAGAGGCAAAAACATAATTTAATTAAAATGAAATCATGCACAAAGCAATTGCCTCGCTTTGTTCATTGTGCGCTGCCTCAAATTGTTCTAGTTTTTAATATTTTTGTTTGCCTTTTTCGCTTTTTAGATTTGTTTTTTGTTATAAACATTCATGACTCGTCGACACTGAAGACGGTCGTTTGTTGCTTTGTGTGTTGGTGTTTCTAGCTGCCAGTGATGAGCAGATAAAAATGTAAAAAAAAATGCTGCCTGCTCGCTAAGATAAGCTTAAAACTGCATTTAAACTGGACTCAAACTATTGTGGGAAAATATCTAGCATTTTACAAGTGCAGCTGGCTCTTCTAATAATATTATATGGGAGTAGAATAAAATTTTATGAACCTCAGAATTACCTCTCATTAAGTGATATCGAAAGAACACCTTATAGCATAAGATCCATATTTAATGGTCACTTTTTATAAGCAATATGAATGTAGTTTCACTTATGAGCTTTTATTGAAGATAAAATATAGCAGGCAACAAAAGGCTATGGATAGTTTTCACCACATTTACATAACTAGAACCTTAAATACAACAGCAATCTTTTAAATTTGAAATGATCAACTGCCACTCAAATCAAGTAACTTTCTAAAGATGTGGATTTTATTAAACCGATTTATTATTCAATTTAACAAAACACTTAAAGTGTAAATGCATTCATTCCCACAGAGCTTTAGACAATGACTTTTATTCGCATTAATCTAAATCGATTAAACTCTCCTATTCTCAACTAGTCCGGTCAACTTTTGAAGGCAGCTGCAAAGTAAATAGAAGATTGCTTCTATTCCAACCCCGGCCAATCAGATGAGTCATGTCGGCAATGCAAACTCGTTTATTCCCCAGTCGATTCTGCAGAAGAGGAGCGAAATTTGTCAAAATGGTTATATCGCATGTTTGATATGTTTTTTCTGGCTTTCATTTCTTTCTTCTCCTTTTTTCCGCCGCGTTACAAATACTTGAGGCGGTGGAGAGTCAGCTGCACACACGCATTTCTTTCGCTTTTCCTGGACCAGCACTCCTCTTTGCTTAGTCACGCGGCCTTTATGCTTAGGCAATTTGTCAAAAAAAAAAAAAACGCACAACAAATTTTACACACATTTTCAGGGGGCCAGCCCTTCCAAGGCCCTCAGGGGAGTGATCAATCATAGGAAATCTTTCAGTCCGTTTCTGCGATTGTCTGTTGCGTGAGGGAATTATTCGCAGTTGTTATAG